ATTATATTTTAATTATATTTTAATTATATTTTAATTATATTTTTAATATATAATAATTATATAATAAATATATTTAGTAAAATTAAAAGTTTCTGCAAAGTATTTAAACTCAATTACTAGTGATAGTTTTTTGTATATTATTTTTTTGTTATTTTTTTTGTATTATATGTTTTTTTTTTTAAATTGCATTATGTTTTGTTTTTTTTTCTTTATATTATTTTTTCTTTGTATTGTGTTTTTTTTCAATATTTAATATATTAGTTTTAATATTAAATATATGCATGTAATAAAGGTTATATTTTAATAAAATCAGCATTTTTGTTGTTTTATTGTTATAAATTCGTATAAAATTTATTTAATATATATCAATATATATATAATTAATTATTAGTAATTTTTTGTTATAATAGCTATATATTAATTTTTATTAAAATTAATATAACTTAACAGAGAGATAATTATTAATATATAACTGCATAGATATATATTAATATATATTAGCTTATATTTTTTGCTAATGTATATAAACACACTTAGACTAATAACACAAGCCAGAATAGTATATACTTACAGTTGCACTTGTAGTCTTTTTGATCAACAACATATAGGAGATTTTTATAATTCTTATATTTGCTTACTACAAGGAAAAACTAATAAAAAACTAATTAAATAGTTATCTAAATAGATAAACTATAGTATTTCTACTACTATATTTTATATTATCAAATCTAGTTGAGTTTTAACTACTCTAATAAGTTTAGATTGCAGATAAATTAAATAAATTAGATAAAAATTTCATCTATAGTCTGAGTTTTATTTTTGTAAAAAATTTGTAAATTAACTCTAAACTGTGTTAACTTATATAGTTGTTTATAACAAATTATTAATAAAGATAAAAGCAAAACCTCATCTTAATATTAAAAAAAAATAAAATTAATTTATTATTTTTTATTTTATTTTTTATTTATTTTTTTAATATTAAATTAATCTTTAATTTTTAACTTCATTAATACTTTTTTAGATAACATGTTTATATAAAATTATTTTCTATATTACCTATTTAAAAATTTTATTCAAAGATTTTTTACTAATTGTTATATCTAATAATTTTACTTAGATGTTCTATTTTAAACCCTTTAAATTTGCATTTTATATTAATTTTACTAAGTTATAAAAATTTCTTCTTATATCTAAATTCTCATTTTAATCTTAAAACTAATTTATCTTTGAAGTAAATCTTTAAAAATCTTCTGTATTTTTATTTATAACTAACCTGATATTGCTATAACTAAACTAATATCTTGTAGTTAAGACTAATTATTAAATTGTTATATTCTTATAAAGTTTATACAATGTCAGTATTTTTACAACCTTACTAATATTTTGTTTATTTTTGTAAGTTCTTTTATATTATCACATTAGTAAATTTTGCTTAATATGATTTTATATCTTGATTAACCAGTAATTAGATTAATGAATCTCTTTTATTTAAGATTCTTGTTTGTACAAATCAATTGTTCTAAATTTTCTTTTTCAAATCAAGATTTTCATAAATAATATCATCAAAGATCATACTGTTTCTCTATTTGAAATTTTCAAATAAGACTTATTATTTAGTATATATTTTTTAAATTAATTAGTATAACATTGCACACTTCTAAAATTAATCTTGATACAACTAAAATTATAAAGTTACAACTCCAAATATCTTATTTCAATTGTTGAAATAAAACCATTTTTCAAAATTCTGCTGTCAGTGGAATTTGAACTCTTAACCTATTGCTTAGAAGATGACAACCCCAACCACTACACAGGGTTGGCATTCTCATTTTTACTATTTTTACCTTAACTGTAAACCTAATGTTTGAAAAACTATTTCAATATTATTATAAAAATTTTACTGTTATAAGAATCCACAATAACTTATTCAATAACGAACCTCATTTTTTGATGTATTTTTATACAATCAGAAAAATCAAAACAAACTGTTTGTTTTTTCAAAATATACATAAGAAATCACTTTTTGTACCTTAACAAAAATTTCCTTACGCAATTTTACTACATGTTCCACCAACATCTAACCATATCGCCCTAACTTAAACGAGCTTGGATTTTTTGTGCGCCACAACACTTTTACGTGGCAGTGAAATTTTTATAGTAATACTAGAGAAGATTACCTCGAAAGGTTGAGTCACTTGACTTCGAAGACATGAATTAGGGTATCGGGGGTTATGCGATGCGATGGCCTGCGAAATTATGCGAAATAATTTTAAAATTATGCGATTTTTTCTTTATGTATTTATTCTTCTACCTTCGGGATCATTCAAAATTAGTTCGTTTATTTTCTACAATGGGACTTTCCGGAATTCCTCCCACTCGAATTATCGTATTTCAAAAACACATCAACCAATCATACTTGAGCCTCATTGCCTAAATACTTTTTTTTTGCTTAGCGCGACACCCTAACATGAAGGTCCGTGAAACCATGTGACTAAGACCCTCGATTGATCTTCCCAGTATCACCACCAAAATGTTGCAGTCACGTGAGGACCGAAATTCTTTAATGTTCGTTTAGGTTAGGGTTAAGGGTCTATGCTAATGTTAGGGTTAGAGGAAAGGAAAACTTTTTGTTAGGGCACTATAGGTAGTTTTTTATATTGCGTTTTGCTGATCTTGAAATCTGGTTTGTTCACGCCGGCAGTTGCACAAACCCATATTGGCTCTATCTTTTCTATCAGAGTTAATCATCATTTACCGTTACCCCCGTTCTTCTTAACATTTCTTTATGTACAATAGTCTAGCAATTCCTCTACTTTTTCTATTATTCATATTGTTATTAGTCATAGAATTCGATTCAAGATTAGCTCTATTCATTAAAATGTATAAATAGCCTCGGATCCCCCAAATCGATAGTGAATAGTTAGTGCTTTCCACTCAAATATTAATAAAGAGTAATCGTGTCTCATACATGAGTAACTCAAGGTTTTATTAATAAACTGTTGTAGTCTACTTGTATCTTCATATACAGTTAATCGTTTGCCTCATTAAATCCTCTTCAACGCTAGTATTGATTTATTAGCGTTATATACATCTTATACAAGATGAATACGAGACATTCATTTATTATCGTCATCAGTTGCCCCGTTCTTCTAAAGAGATAGTTCGGGTGTAACACTATCTTACCCTAACCTTAATCGAGGTTTGCCTTTTTTTTAATAAAAATTATTATTGCGGTCGCGGTTAATGCTGAAATTTGGGCCTATTTTGATACGAAATTTTAAAATTTTTGGGATGTTTTTTCCGCTTTTTTTTTTTGAGTTGGATTAGAATTTTGGGCTAGAATTGATCAATAAAGTGTATATATGAATTTTAGCAGAGCTTATATCTTCAAATCGAGAACCCAAATTTCAGCATCAGTCACGACAAAAACCATTAAAATAGGCTATAAATAGTCAAAAAAAAAAACCCCCAAATAAATTTTTAACGTTAAATAGTTAATTGATAATCACTCACATAAAGATAGCATAGCTTATTTTTTGAGACTAATAAATTCACATTATATAGCAAATTCGTTATTATAATTTATATAACGGAATTAATAACAAAAAAGTAAAAATTTTGCATTGCATTATATTGAATTCGTTATATAAATTAGAATTTATAATAAAATCGGTATATGGAGTTCCGTTATACGTAATATCGATATGGCTTTTTTACAAATTATATCGATATATTAAAAATTCAGTACTTCAAATTTGGTCCGTTATCCATAGTCAAACCAATGGCATGTAGATCATGACCAGAATTGGTTAGTGAATAGCAAAAAATCCATGATGCGAATTCGTAGTAATTCCCTTTTAAAAAGTATTCTAAACTGTATAAATATGTAAAATTAAATTGAATTTGTTAGCCAATCAGACGAACTTCTGCCTATGAGACAACGGATACTATTGGGACCGACCAATCCTAATTTTAATTATTTTCTTAATTAAACACAATAACAACATTTACTTAATATTTTTTCTAATATAAATTATAAATTAAAACTTGACAAAATAAAAATAGCAATACAAATCTTTATTATAGTTTAAAAAAAAACTAAATTTGGTTATGTATTTATTAAAATATAATAATATACATAATATATCGATTCTGATTGCATAATAGAACACCAACACAAATCCAAATATAAATAAATTGAAAATAAAAATATTCTAAATAAAAATTTAATAATAAAACTTACAAAAAATTTAGATAATTAATGTAATAAAATTAACATTAAGTAAAATGTTTATAGCATAAAAAAACTTTTCACTATTTTGGAGTTCGATTATTATTAGACAACACGCTTGAACTTTGAGAATGTTGGCCCTTTGGAGGTACCACAAAGTTGTTTCTTGGATCACCTTGAAGATTGGGATCAGCACTTTTAGTATTAAGACTACTTTGTCTAGTAGTTGGTTGACTACCAGAACTGTTTTGTCTGCTTTGCTGACGAGCTGGTTGAGAACGTTTTTCTTCGGGAGAGAATATACTACCAATTTTTTTTAAAATATTACCTCCTTTTTTTTCTTTTAAAACGGCAACTTTTGCCTGGAAAAGGATCTTGCGATTGTTTTCATTATCTAAGTCTATACCAATCAAAGGAAAATAACAAATATCGACGAACCACTGATCTATATTTTCATCCCATGGACCAATCATTTGAAGAGGATCTATTTTATCACCTCTTTTAAACCATCTGAAAGTTGCTTCTGGTTCTTGAACCTTTAATCGGAAAAAGAAAATTTTTACAATATCTCTAATGATAGATGGTAGCAATTTATCAACTTCTTGTTTCTTTTCTTCATCTCTAAAAGTACGAAACTTGGACATAATGTTGTCAATTTCTTTCGTAGCATAAGATATGAATGGATGTTCCTTTTTATCATCTTTAATATCAGCAAAACCACGATCACCTAGAACAGCATAGATCTGTTGACGTAGTTTTATTGGAATAGCTTGAGTTACTTCATCAATACCATCACGATGTTTATCAAATTCGCTTAATAGTTCAATCATTTTACGAGTTGTATGGATTAATTCTAATTCACGACTAGCTTCGGAACCAAGTTGAGAAAAACATTTGCCTATATAGTTATTCATAATTTTTGTAACTGTTTCAATTAAGATTCTTTGAAGAAGCCATTTAATAAGTATCTTCTCTTCAGAATCTTCATTTGCAAGATGATCTAATGAACAGCCATAGTTTTGTTGTAATACAATCTTTGCATTTTCCAAATTAAGCGTAACACCTTTTTTTACTCTTGCATACAAATTAATTTTATCTTGTAATTGCTCAATGTCTCGTGTAAGAGCAGTGCTATTATTAGGATCATCATCACTTAATTTGAAATTTTTTGCATCGCCCAATTTTGATTGATAATGAGCAGCTTCATTTTTTAATTCTTCATTTTTTTTTGTAACTTCATCTAATGATTTACTTAATACACTATTGCGACTGAATAAATTATTACGATCATTTGTAAGATTTGAAATGTAACTATCTTTGTGATAAATATCTTGATGAAGTTGATGATTTGTTCTTTTAATTTCATCCAATTCAGTATCACGCTTACTTAGATTAACGTGAAGTCTAGCAATTTCATTTTCATGTTCAGCAAGTGTTGCCTCTAATAAAGCAATTTTATCATGTACAGATATTTCTTGTGTTTTATCATTATCATTTTGATTTTCTGGATTTAAAGTTTGCTGCGGTTTTAAAATTTGTTGCTGGGTTGTAATGACATCTTCGTTTTCAGGGATTTGTCCATTCATCGTTTCATTTTGATTATCGATGTCCATTTTTTCGAGATTTATTTGGGGAGCTTGAGCATTATCATTTGCTAAGCTAGAACCTTTATCGTTTGGATCACCCTTTAAATTAGAGTCATTTTCTAAGCTAGGAACTTTATCGTTTGGATCACCCTCTGAGTTAGAGACATTTTCTAAACTAGAACCTTTATCGTTTGGATCACCAGTTAAGATATTATCAGGATTGTTTGGATTATTCGTCAAAATAGAGTCAATTTTCGGTTCATTTTCTGAGCCAAGACCATTGTTAGCACTATCATTACCCATGTTATCCTCATTCGTTGGATCAGAACCACCTTCTATATTGTCATTTAAACCATTATTTGCTGTTCCAACCTCAGTTTCGTTTTTATTAATCATTTCATATTCCATAATTTCCGACATGATTTAAAACCAAATATTATTTAGGGGATCAAAAATTTCTACTTGTAGTTAAAATATCTACTTTAATTGAGAAAAGAGAATGTGAATTTAAATAAAGTTAACCTTTATAAAAGAAAATGATAAAGTTTCTAGACGAAACGTGATAGAACTATTATGGAAAGTAAAAAAAAACAAAAGAGCGGAGCTTAAACTCCTGAAACAACCGTCGTACAGTATGTTGACCATGCATGTTACATTTGTTTACTCCCACTCATCCCATTAAAGATGTGAAAGGTGATGTATTGAATATGTGACATTAAATCACAGTTCTTATTGGTTACATTTTAGCAAACATCAGTCACGAGGACATGATCAGGTGTAACGTGAAAAAATCCCAACCAAAACATTCCTTGCCAAAATTAGATAGTAATATTATGTAAGTACTGTCGTATTTATGTACAATACGTACCTATTAGCTGTTAGAGACTTACGTACTCGGTACTAGCTAGGGTGATAAATCAACTAAGTAATCAAACTATGTCAGCTATATACATTTTTTTATGATCAGCAAAATTACAAAATTATCGATCAAACGGTTTTAAAAAGCCTTTTAATTATAAAGAAAATGTAAATGCTAAAGTTTTCGCACAAAAATTATACTTATTTATCGATTGAAAACACTGCGCTAGTACTATCTCAAAGTAAATATGTTGGATTCTTTGCGAAATTCTAATTAAATGTTGACTTGAATGTTTAAGATAGTTTTTCGTTCTAATTAATGAAATTTAGAGCATTCACATATTAATAAAACATGATTTTATTTTTAAACATTTTAAAAATGACTTGAAGATAATGTCATGTTTTAATAATGAGTAGAAATCTTTAGAATGTATCGCTGAATACAGGTTTTGCATACCAATTTATCAAGAACGGACCTTTTAAATATTTGAGATCTTTGCTAACGTAGGATTTTTTTGTTCTAAAAATAGATTTGGTATATGATTTTCCTAATAAAAATCTCGTGTAACAATGGCTTGTAGGGTCATTTTGCTAGCAAAGATCCCATTTACTAATTGATATTTATTATGTGGGTTGAGTACGTTATTGATAGGGATGTACGAAATTGGTATGCGAAACCTGTAATGTAATAGAATATTTTAAAACGTTAGTTGTAATAGTAGTGAGCTCACTTAGTTTGATTTACTAGGCAACTAGGCAGTTAGTGAGTTATCACTAGGGATGGGACACTGCGCAGGCGGAATTTTTCGGAAGCCCGGAATTTTTCGTAATAACGCAGAATTTAACAATTTTGGCCCGCATTAGCTGTAATGCAGGCCCGTGCAGGCTGCGCAGCTTGCGCAGTAGATTCGAAAAATCCTCGATTTTCCTATCCCTAGTTATCACTCCGGTACGTATAGTAAGGTTATTCGTCTTATAAATTAGAGGACAAATTCACATTTTTTATGCCATTGCAAGACCTTGAAATCTTTTTTCTTACATTAATAAAAGGAATCATTTAGTGTAATACATAATCTATTAATCAAAACTTTATTCATCCTATTTTTAATGTTAACTAACATGAATAAAAACTTTAAGCTGATATTTATATAAACAGCCAATAAATTCCAAGAATCTAATAAATTTCTAACGATTTTTCTGTGTAACTTTACACGTCCCTAAAAAAGGAAATCATTATTAACACTCAAAAGTAAACGTTATCATTTGGTGTTACTCAGAATTACTCTGTTTGGGTAATTTCTATTCGGATTTTTATAATTTTGGTAATTGATCTTCTTCTAAAATTTATTTTTTTGGTGATTTTGGGTTTTACAAAATTCGAACGTTTGTAAAATTTTTTTTCTCTATATCTTATTTAGCACTAGTTAAGCCCTTTCAAATTTGTATTTGTATGAACAGTACTTTCGAAGTGATGTGCTGCTCTAATGCGCTTAAAATTTTTTTCGCTTGTTGATTAAGGGTTGTTTAAATAAAATATTTTAGGTAATACAGCTTTCTAAAAATGAATTAAATTATTTTAAGAAAAATAATACGATTTGCATGAATAAAAATTGAATGTAGAAGATAATTTAGTCGGGCTTTTATCATTGTTAATTAACCTTTATTTATCTTATTTGTTTGAAAAATATTGTAATAATGATCTAATTTAGCACTATAATAAACCTAAAAAAAATAATAATGCAAATTTTTTGAATAAACTGAATATAATTATTCTTTATTAAAAAAAATTTGTTTAAATATTATTACATTATTTAACTTTTCGTACTTATTTATGCTTAATTTTCTAACCAACTCTGAATAGTATGATATTGCTTCTAATACCCCTTATTTTCTTTTCCTCAAGTTATTTATATTCTATATTTATATCCTATTATTAATTTCGTCTTGTCATGCAAGAGCCTCTACTACAAGTTGATTGTTTTAAATCGTCGCAAAAATTACTTATTAAATAAAACTCTTTTAAATAGTATGTTCAATTCGAATGATTAAACCAATTATCCCTTGTATTGTTAAATATTTCTTTTTATATGTACTATAGTTGCAGGTGAAACTAATTTTAAGTTTCGTCAAGTTTCACCACAAAGTTTCTCATTTGCTGTTCTATTTAGTTTCGTCAGTTTCACCTGCAACTCTAATATGTATTCTCCTAGATAATACTCCCTTTATACAGCACTCCAATAGTATTATTAATTAACAAGTTACCTTTTAATTTCTTGTAAAATACCTGGGGTACTATGTGCGTCGCTGTACAATAATGATATATAATAGTAAATAACACATATCAATAAAAATAAAAAGTTGTTAATTAATTACTTTTCATACTCAGTAATTTCAAATCTGTTATGTTTAATTAAATAAAAATTCTTTTTTGTTTAATTAATGAAAAAAAAGTATAAAACAACGAACTTTTTCATCTATACCAACTTCAGTTCATTTCTATTACGATAATCCCTTCTAAATATTCTTTTCTAAAAAAAAAACTAAAAAAAAAACAAGAAATAAATAAATAAAAAAATAATAAACAATAACAAATCAATAAAATACCAATATTAAAAAAAATAAAATAATAATAATAAAATCAAAATAATAAACATGTCTTTCGTTTTCTGTGCTATCTTATTCATTAAGAGTATTTCTGGAACTAGTAAAATCTGTAATGGAACTGTTGTATATAAAACTGGACCTAATGAATTCGTTGAATACAGATTTAAAGCTTTTAGACTTAGCGAAATGACCCTAGTGGAAGAAATAACCAAATCAAGTATATCATTAGTGATCGGATGATTTGTATTTGACGAAAAGGAACTTAATGTAATAAATAAATATATATATATAATTATTATTATTGTTAGCTAAAGAGTTGATTCAACGTTCAATGAAATTCTTCTTAAATAAAAAATCGATTCGTTTTAGTCTGGCCTTTCTGGAGTCACTCCTTTGGTCACAAAAAAATTTGCACTGTTAAGAAATTTTAACTACATCAAGGTTTAAAATTTACATTATCCAATCTGAAAAAAAAAAAAAATCATCACATAATAAAAAAATTATTGACTATATAGAAAAACATTTTAAAATAGCCGAAATTTAAACTAATTTATACTTTTTTTTTTTACCTTTATTTTTATCTTCATTTTTAATAAGGTTATGATCGAACAGTATACCCCTCTTAACATTCGAACAATAGAAAATTCCCTACTATGTATGATCTTCCTGTCTCACCGGCATTCAGCATTTTTACAGCTTTCTTACAGGATCCAGTTACTATAGATAATGATGATGCTTTTTTCTATCTAAAAAGAGACTCCTACGATGGAGTAATTTTGTCCAAGATTACTATGTCTGTTTTGTACAAATATAACCCCAGAGGTCATCATTCAAATGTAGCAGACAATTTAAGACGTTTCCCGATCGTCTTAGTCACAGGTGAATTGGTTATGTTAAAAAGATTGGTGTGCATTTTAAGCAATATCATCGAATGGACCTATCCAAATCAAGTAGGTTCCAACACTAATGATGATACAGCTTCTTTAAAAAACAGAAAATGAAGAAATGAAGAGTTAGAAAAGTTGGCAAAAAAATTTGAAGTTCCAAATGTTCGATACTACAAAGGGAAAGAGAAAATGGCCACTAATGCCCAAGAAGAAAGTTCTTTAAGAGTAAAAAGGTTGAAAAATAACATCGAAAACGTTAAAGGTAAAAAAAGAGAAATAAAAAAAAATTATATAATATAATTTCGGAACCTATATATATATATATATTTTTTTTTTTATACACTATACATTAAGCAAAACATGCTCGAATAGATAACCTCAATTATTTTTAAATTAAGTATATAATTCTATAAATTTCGATTAGCATTATAACATTATCTTGAGAAATCGTTAAACCATCTCTATATCTTGAGAAATCGTTAAACCACCTCCATAATACGATAATTAATAATTTACATGCTTCGAACCTTAATCAACAATTTCTTACAATGTTTTGTTTTTATCTATTAATCGACGCTAAAAAAAAAAAATATAGGGACCAAAAGTCAAAAAGACATGATGGACCCAACTTAGGATTATGAAACCCCTGCTGAACACCTGTATACTCAAACAATTGATTACCCGGAAGACCTTTATGAGAATGATGAAGAATCTGAAATGCTGGAAGATTAAATGTCTAGCAACAAACTCCTGAAAATATAATAAATTTTAGTATAATTAGAAATTTTAATTAATTAAAAATAACCTAGTATATTTTTTATTTTTAA